AACAAGTACCTGGTACAAGTCTACACAAGTTGAAGTTAAAAAGGACAGGTCTGGACTTGACTCGACTCAAGTCTGCTGGAGTGACTTGTTAACGGTCACATTTTGGTTTCTTATGGTGCACTTCTCACTGGTTCCAACATTAACACGTCTCCACTGGTTGAGTCTCGCTGTCACTCTTGCCGGTCTCGCGCGTTCCGAGCCGTTGGCTCTCCTTTACTGCTCTCGCTCGGCCAGTCTCGCTCTAACTAAGTGTCATTTCGCCTCTAAACCAGGGGAGACGTATTCCTGTAAAGTACCAAGTGGTACGGATACCGGTACCAGGTAGGTACTGGTACCTGAGGGAACGAATCGGCAGATTTTGTATTGGTACGGTAGAATTTCTACATGTTCTACTGAAACCGACTGTTAAATACAAACCGGCCGTTAACTATCTCATAAGTCATACAAAACCAGCCGTTATCGTTCCCTTCAAAACAAACCTGCTACTTAGAGCCGACTGTGCCCCATCGGTCTCCGGCCTGACCATCGGGCTGTCGGGCTTGCACCCTCTCTTAAGCCCTCGGTCAGACCTCCGACCTCGGGTCCCTGCCTCAACCCCTAAGTAAGCCGGTTCGTTTTTAATAAGAACGAAACTACTAGTAGCTAGCTAGCTAGCTAGCTAGGATACCTATAGAGCTCTGTGAGATTCGTTCAAGTCAGTCAAACAAGATGATGATCCAAGTCAGTCAAATAAGATGGTATTGCTTCTTTGAGTCAAGCTCTAGAGCAATACAACTAATTTGGTGTTAGTAGAATTTTAATGATTACTCTGTAGTAGATAAAACCTACTTGTAACTTAGTCATTGATAGCTAGCTAGTAGCAATAGTTCAGCAGCAGCACCAGCAGCACCAGCAGCACCAGCACCAGCATGTAGCATTGGTAGTATCAGTACTGGTACCGTGTATGAGTCCGCAGTCAACATGCCGCAGAGATTCTTTTAAAATAACAAGGCTTTTAAATTTTCAATTTTAATATGTGTACCTAAAAGTAAAATTTCATTTTTGTACAGGCTGGTTTCTCTGCATCCTCCCACAAAAGACACACTTGGTACATTTTCATTAAGTCTTTGAGTCTCTCACTGGTTGAATTTTGGCTACTCGTTAAATACTTAAGAACCCTAGGTTCTTCTAAGGACTTAACAACTTCAACTGACATGGAAGGTGCCATTCTCCTGAAGGAGCACTGCACCAGGGAAATGGCACCAAATCCGTGAGGTTTCCTCACGACTTAATGATGGGGGTTTCAAAGGGGGCTAGTTTAAACATTTTTTGGCAGGGCTTCACTATGAAAATATCAGTGGCAGGACCAATTTTTCAATCAGGTATACGGAGGCTTTTGAGCAGGTTGGCACAGCCATGGTAAAGCACACACCTATGGATGATTACGCAGAGTCAGGTATCCATGACAAATTTGGCCACAACAGCTTTGAAAAAGCTACGGGAAGAAAACAAGATGGGGCGATCTACATCTGGTAATGGATTCACACTGAAAGAGGGATCCGTTGATTGTTTCCCTTACAGAACTTTGGGTAGCAACAAGAATCCCCCAAATACAAGAAGCCCACCGAAGAGACAGATGCTTTCTTGCTGGAGCAGTTTTACATTATAGTGCTGGAAGCTTGCTGCACCAATAGCAAAACGGCGGACACCACAGTCATCCTCAACATTTTGTTGTTTGTTGCCCGACTGCCCTCTTCTTCAAAGCAGCCACCTCCTCACTCAATCGAGGGATCAACCACAACCACAACCACAACCACAACCACAACCACAACCACAACCACAACCACAACCACAACAACAGCAACACAATGGTGGAGCCGCCGATCGCTACTACTATGACTGCTACTAGTACTATTACGGGTAAGTCTATTATCACGTATGTTATTATTGAAGGCACATCACTGACTTCTTCTCTCATTGTATTCCTATAAACAGGAGGTCAATCGGCTTGGCCGACAACACCAGGCTTGGCCGACAACAATGGTGGCTACCGGCAGGAGGAGTTCTTTATTCAATCGATCGATCGAATCGATCGCAATGAGGTAAGCCTATTATCAAGAGTGTTAATTGAAGGTACAGCACTGACTTCTCTCCCTCATTGGATTTCTATGGTAAACAGGAGAGAATTCCGAGCTCGGCCGTCAACAGGTGAGTTGTTTTAATTATTCAAATCAGATCGATCGCACCTCTGTTATCCAAGCCTCACTCAAGCTGGCTGTCTCTGGTGCAGAAGCGAAAGCCATCCCTCATTGAATCATATGGACCATGGGATGGCAGTCAGTTCTCAGCCCATGATGGCCAAGTTGGTGCAAGTTGAAAACAATGGTAAGTCTCCGGTCGTCTGCAGTTAAGCACAGAAAACAAAACTCATATCTATTTGTTGTTTTCTCTGCTGTACTGCTGACGGCCGAGGAAATACCATTGTCGAGTCGTTTTCGAACAAACGATCAATCGCACCACTACGGAGGAGACTGTTAACTCAAGCCCTATCACCAGCCTGAACGGAGGAGATCGTCGTCAAGTCATTGAAAAGGGAACAGAAGCAAGTCGACAACACACAAGAGAGTGGATCATACTACCGGTACTCGATTCATCTCTCCAGTGTTATTTCCTAGTGATTTGGTGGTGATTCCTGTGTCGGCACCCATTTTCCTGTATGTACAAGTCGGTCGTTGAGGATTTGGCTAACTTGAAGTCGACGACGACTTGGTGGTTTCGTACGATAGAAATAGCTAGCTAGTAAGATAATAGAACGCCGATTACCAACCAAATAGACCATTCCTTTCATTAGATAGACATCTTATAGATCTATAGCAGAGCTCGGTCCAGGTTTGTTTCTCCCTTGCGTCCTACACCTCTACTGCTGCAGTCGCCCATTTCGTACTCCAGTTGGTATTCCTACAAGGCCTACCAGGTCAGGCAATTACAGGGCACTGCACTGTGTCTGTTGTGATCAGTAATTCCTTGCTTCAATTGCAGCAATTCCTCTTTGATTGTAGCGGAAGAGACGAAGAGACAAAGAGACAAGAGACAAGTCATGACGCCATGACCTGGGTGGTGTGTGTAAAAATGTCTAAATGGCATCAAACCAGTTTCCTTTCCTTCCAGTCACATCTTCCTTTGAGCTTACTGAGTGCCGGTAATACCGGTAGCTAGCTAGTAACTTAGCTGGCTGAGATCTCCTTGGAGCCTCACGCACTTTCCGCACCATTCACCCGATTCTATAGTTTCATTTGACAGCAACGCTCGGTGGATCAGAACATGATCCATCTTCGTGTCCACACCCTGTTGCTTCCTTTGCTGCCTTCGAACCAGACTGTCACTCTCCTCAAGCTACCGGTAGCTCAAATTTGCTTTTTTAAATTGCGGGGCTCGGCATTTCCAGTTTCGTCGCTGCTCAGTATCATATTTGGATCAATGGTGCCACCGTCTCCGAGGGAAGGTTTCGACTTGCGTTTGAGGGATGGATGAACAGAATGCCGTGTTACCGGGAGACCGACAGGGTGATTCTTCGGTCCATTTCCCAGCGCCATCAGTAGATTGGGATGGCTACGAAGGCAAGAAAAGATACAATCTTTTGGTTTCCAAGCGACACCTGCTCCTCCTTGCAACCGAGACAACCCGTTCAGCTGCCGCACCGTTGACGCCAGCACAAGAGGGAGCGCTGCTGGGACTAGTGTTCCTTTCTCCAATCCTGAGGCAGCAGCCTTCTTGATTTTGTTGCGAACACAAGCAATAGGGCTGCAGCTGCTCATTCACCTCCTCGAATTCATGTTTCGTCCAGTAGATTGACGCGAGCTCGAATCTCTCAAGGCTAGTGTTCTCGTTCATGCCATCTTAAGAATATCAATCTATTTCCAAGCATCGAGCTCATTTTATCTATCTATCAATTGCAGCAAAAAGTGAGTATTCTAAATATAATTTACTGGGATTGACAGAGTCAACCCATCAAGCCACAGTTCTGTTGCCTCGTGCCCCCCTACCTTGAGGCTGATTAGATGCTTCAGATTCGCCACACGATCCGCCATGTTTTCGTAGAATTGAAGGCCTCCAGCCGCACGGTGGCCCACGTACCGGTAGTGCAGATGTTTGAGACTGTGACAATTCTGAATTGTCTTCAGCAACGATTGCAAGTTGCTTCCTTGCCCAGTGAAACGGTTGTCGCCCGAGACGACGAGGGATTGCAGTTGGAGACCTGGACGATCAAAAAGACCAAACAAGGAATCGATTGTCGCTTTGGATGGCTGGGAGCCGACTCTAGACCAATGCCAAAGTGTTTCACAGAAGAGGTAAGCACAGCATTCAGCAATGGTGAAATGTCCAAATCACAGATCCCTGTGGAGGAATAGTCCTGCCCGTCAAAATTGAAATACGTTATGAAGCGATTGTTGCGTAGACCCTCGGCCAATCCGGAAATGGCATCCTGGCAATGGTGCCCACGCTCTAACCCGAGTATCACGCTCTTTGGCGGTGGTTGCACATGGATGGCAGCTGATTGTTCATGTCGTGAAATCACAACAGCATCCACTGCAGGAGCCACGGCAGGAAATACATGGGATAATGGTTGCACTAGCTAGTACGGTACTGGTAAAATAAGAGAAGGTTGCTGCTAAAGCTAACAATAATACTATCACAGTTGAATGATTCACAGACAAAAAAGACTGACTAAAGAGAAGTTACAGCGGAAAGTAATTGAAGCAATCTTGAGGACAACCCAGATCATAAAAGAACACCGCAGGGGACACAGCAGCAGGTGGCTGACTTCGATTGTGTACTCCAAAGTTACAGCGGAAGATCTCAAAAGAACACCGCAGGGGATTCAGCAGCAGGTGGCTGACTTCGATTGTGTACTCGAAAGAGAAGTTACAGCGGAAGATCGCAAAAGAACACCGCAGGGGACACAGCAGCAGGTGGCTGACTTCGATTGTGTACTCGGGGCTGCCAAAGAAGACTGAATGCGCTCACTTGCGTCCTCGGGATGAGAGTCGTCGGCTGCGCAGGCTGCGCGTACTGCTACTGGAAGAAATGCTGCTTGCAGCTGGGGAACCATCGACCATGGGAGACTCCACTTCACAGCCAACACTGCTTTCTTCGTTTTCATCAATTTTAGGCATCACGTTCTTTCGAGCCGACTTCTTGGTGGCCGTGGATGAGACCTTCTTGGCAGCCGCGCGCGGTGATGGCGTGTTGCGAAGTCCCGGGGACTTTGGTGGAAGACCAGATGAGCGCTTCGGGGTAGCCACCTTTGTGCGCTTGGCACTTGCCGTCGCGGCGGTCTTCTTGCGTTTCAAGGAACCAGTCTTCTCCTCAGCCCCCATCTTCATGGGCGACTCCATCATTTCTTCTTCACAATCGGCAAAAGATTTATTGCAGCCTGGGAAACACGAGACAAATGTCAGCAACAGATGCAGAAAAGAAAGAAAAGAAGAACCACTGGTAGCTTACCAGCTGTCTCCGCGCCACTGTCGCGGTTGGGCGGTGCATTGTCCCCATCCGTTTCGATGGAGGCAACCTTCGCCGGAGATTCCAAGACGTCATCGTCATCGTCATCGTCGTAAGCAGCTTCGCTCACAACAGTCTCTTCCTCGCAGTAGTCGAGGTAGGGAGTCCTGTGGCAAGGAAGCAATGACATGGAGATGAGGAAAGATGCATGAAGGCACAGGTGAGATCCCAGCTGGTCAGTCCAATAACTTACCCTGCATCTTTCGCTGCTTGCGCTTCGATGACATAATTGAGCATTTTTCTGTTCCCTTCTTGCATTGAACGAAAGGAGCCGTACTCGTTATCGCTCTGCGCCTTCAAGATCTTCTGCTGTTCCTTCACAACCGAAAAACCATCTTTGAGCCTGCCGTCAAGGGCATAATACTTTTCTTGGTGCGCTTGCTTCAATCTGTTGTGCTCCTCCCGTTCCCACATCGAAGTCTCCATCAAATGGCGAAGGGATTGTTCCAGCACAGGATGCAAGGCTGGAGAAGGCGGTGGTGCAGAAGCAGCGGAAGCAACGGACGCAGCGGACGTAGGCGTTGAAGCTGCGGATGCAGCAGGACGCACCTTGCTTGGTGTGCGTGGTGCCGTCTCTTGGACCACAGCGGCAGTGCGACCCGTGATTCGACGAGGGATGGCAGGGTGCGGCTTGGTCAGCGGGAAAAACCAACTGCCTGAGAATTTGACACCGAACTCCGTTACGGCAATGCGGGCCGACAATTCCAACATGTGCTTCAGCTCCGTCGCCGTAGGCTTTTCCAAGTTCTTGATATGGGCTAGCACTGCGGGCTCCGTATCCATGATGAACGCCAAAAAGTAGGGCGAGTTCTCCAACGCGACCAAAATCTGGCGTGGCTGACCGGCAAGCACAAGGTCCATGGTATCACCATACTTGAAGATTTCGTAGCCTTCAGCATTATGCCAAATTTCCATTCCTTCCCGCTTTGGGTTGATCTTGGAAATAAAAGAGCTGCGGCATTTGGCCTGGCCATCGGCAGTCTTTGCATAGCGAAGCATGTACTGAAGAAACTTGGGAGAAGAGTCGAACATTTCGACCGCTGGGTTCGAGCCGGTGGTTAGGCTTGGGTCATTTTTCGCGACACATCGCTGGAGAAATCGCATTCCTTGCTGAGGGTTCAGCTTCGAGATGCCGCCAGGTGGACATTTCTTGGGGTCCTTCAGAATAGCAATGGTCGCTTGGATGCTGGTAGGCAGACCAGGCAACTGCTTGCCGGTGGACATGAGGACAAATGGAGGATCCTGGTTCAACAATCGCTCGCAATGGTATGCGTACGCTTCTGGGTGAACATCCTTGGGCGTTGAAAGCAACCAAGCGTCGAGTTCTCCAAGATCCTTGTTGTCTTCCGCCATTGTGATGATAGATGGATGAATCGATGATCGTGTTGAAAAATCCCTTGTTGACCTCGTCAAATCAAGGAAAGTGAGAGGAGGAAGTGTTTTGCTCTTTTTTTGAACGGAACAAATCGGTCTGTCCACAGCGCCGGTCTGTCCACAGCGCCGTCATGGTTGGAATTTGAATTTGAACAGTGGTGCGACGCCTTAACAAATCGCCAGCCAAAAGGGCCCATGGCGTGCCATTGGAATTTGAACCGGCTTCTGGATCTTTTCGAACGGAACAAATCGCGCCGTCATGGTCGGCATTAAATAATTTGAATCCAGAGGCGGCAACGGAAGGTCAATCGAATGGGCAGTCGAATCTTCAATCGAATCGAATCGAATTGAATCGAATTGAATCGAATGATATTTTTGGTCCAATCTGGAAAAGAACCCAAGAACATGTGGAGGCGTTCCGATGACGTGTTGTTGAACTTGTAGAGCCAACCAAGCTGAAGCTGGTAATTGGTGGTTGTGTTGTCGCTGCTAGCGGTTGATGTTGCTGTTGTCGGCCATTTTCGATTGTTGAAGATGAAGTTGATTGTGTTGTGCACTGATGATAGTACAGCCAGCTCGGACTTTCCGTTGCATATTGTCGTTGGGTTTCTTTGCCATTCTCGACTCGGACAGTGACTGAGAGGAGTGATGCCACGGCAGATTCCATTATTCAATCGCCAGACAGAGGGTTCCATCATCCACTAGCTTCAGCTTGCGCGTTCAAGTCAATTCAGTTTCTTCCACGTTACCGGTATCCCATCGAAGGCCGGTATACCCCAAAGTCTCTTCTGATAGCAGACTTTGTGACCATTGTGTGTCGGAATAGTGCAAGGTGGGAGCCAACCCCATGAGTCCACATCGTGATACTACTAGCTAGTATTACCGCTTCTCCTGTGGGTATTCGACTACCCAAACAACTCGATGTGGAAACAACAAGGAAGATCGACTAATGAGAGATAATGAGTGTGTGGACCGCGGCGAATGGATGGAGCTTCGCGGGGGACTGCTTCTTCGCTTCTTCTTGTCTCCGCCTGGCTTTGAAAAAATTTGGGTCATTCAACGGTGTCAAACTCGTGACTGTTACCTTAATTAAAGATTTATACTGATCTCCAGAGCTGAATATTGGATCCAGATTGACGGTTACTCGGAACGATCTGGAACATAAAACAATGAAACACGCGACCCTTTGAATAACAGCTGGTAGAGCTGTTAACTCGGACTCGGGTCCTCATGAAGGTGAGGCTCCACACGGATTCTACAATAGTGACGCTAGCTAGTCACACAAACTGACTCATCAACTCATCTGTTGTTGTCGACAACACAAACAACGACCATCGTTGTTATCATCATTGTTGTCGACAGTCCACAACCACTCATCTCTTGACGAACGACCGTCGTCGGCCGACAACCACTCATCGTCAGCCAACTGCTGCGCTTCCAACAACAACAAGAAAACTTTCCTGCCACAATCGTCTTGAGAGAGACAAGAAGCCAAGAGGACAGAATTTGAGGCATGGGCAGCAGCAGCAGCCTAGGCATTAGTATCCGATCTCTTGATTGGCTCTGACAACATCACAATGATGATGTTGTCAGTAATTCATTCATCCAACACAAACAAACTTACATACATGGCTCGATAGCCAGGCATTGGACGATCAGCAAACTCATCATTCTCAGAGTCTGTTGTTGAGGGTAGCCACAGGCGCAGTGCTGGTGGTGGAAGGAGGAGAGTTGGAGGCAGAGATCTTCTATGCGTCATTGCGGAGGGCTTGATTGTGCAAGTCAATCATTTCCAGAGCATGTTGTTCCATTGCTTCTGGCGCTGGGAAGCACCAATCAGTTCGCTTGATTCCTCGGATCTCCCAATCATCCCGGCACAAACCAAAGAAAGAGGTGTCATGGTAGACTAATGAACAAAGCAAGTCACCATGCCATTATCCGGTTGGCCATCTTCCCCCTTTGGAACTTGGAAATGCATCACCTTGTTGCACAGATTGCATGATTGGCTTATCAATCTTCCAAGCAGGATCAAGGTTTCCTTCGGCACACTCAAGATACATGTCATAGGCTTCATCTTCTGATTCTGGGTCACCTGCATTCTCTGCATACCGAGCTCTATAATACTCTTCTTCATAGTGTCCTGGATCAAATGCTACGCTCTCTGTCCCATTGGATTCATTTCCATTTCGCGAAGGTGTGGTTGTCATTTCTGACACAGAGCAAGAATTTGGAGATCTACCAGTGGTAACACTGTGCAAAGGGGTGCTCTGTGACAGCGTCTGGCCTCTGCCATCGTTGCTTGCTCTAGTCGATGATCGAGGGGTAGAAGATGCAGCATTTTCCCTCAGATTGGGCGTCATTGTCAGTTGCTTTTCAATACTTTGTGCCAAAATATGATTCAATACCATTCTACCCGTGCGCCAAACAGCAATCTGGTAGCTGTCAAACCTCTCATACTAGCTATGCATGTACGTAGACCTTGGCCCGAGGGCCAACAACATAGGCAAAGAGAGGGTAGAGCACATTGTAAAAGAGGCGTCTATTGGTACCACATGAGTGAGAGCCAACTCTAACCTAAAGCAGCTACACTGTAGCTGATCTAGTGTGCGGCAGAGCCTAAACGATAGCTAGATGCATGCTGCCCCAGCCTACCGTACGGAATTGTTGAAGCAGAAACAAACAGATTGCTAGTACAAACCAATTTGCTTAGTAGGAAACTGAAGCTAAAACCCAGGCAGCATGACATACATGAGGTAATCAAAAAATATTTCTATCCATACACAGTGCCCATTTTACACACGTTTTGGCTGGCTGTTTATAGAATGCAACCTGGCTCTGTGGCAACTGCGGTCTTGGGTACCGGTGGTGGTACCTGGAGGAGCAGATCTTTCTTCTTGCGGTAGGGCCTCGGTGGTTTCTCACGATGAACGCAATACCAGTGGAGCAGGCATCCCAAAATGGTCGCACCAATGATTCCTCCTACCACATACATGGCTGTAGTTGTCTTTTCCGGTTCGCCATAGAGATAGCATCCAAAGTGGTTGGAAACCTTTTGATGGTCGACCCCTCCCGAGAGCCAAGCATTGTAGTGTTCCGAATCTTCATCTTCGTATCCGTAACCTCCATTATTGTTGCCATAGTAATAGTTGTTGGCATTATTGTTCCCATTGTTGTTGTTGTTGTTGTTGTTGTTGTTTCCGTAATAGTACTTTTGTCGTCCGTACGTTTCACCACTGGTGATCATACTGATATCGTTGCAAATATCGCCATACCTGTATGCGTCCAAATCGCAGGTACAAGCGCCTGATTCGTAACTGGTGGTCTTGCCCACACGGTTGCAATACCAACACCCCTTGCCGATGCAGGCACTGCACTTGTCAAAATCAAATGCCGTGGCAGCAGTAGCAATCAGCAGTGCCAGTAGCAGCTGAAACAGACGGATCATGGTTTGCGTGGCTGCTTCTATTCTGATGACTACTAGAGTAGACCCGTTCCTCTGCCGTATTGGTTGATGGATTTGTTGCTGTGCTTGTTGGGAAAGACTTGTTCCTTCCTTGGCGGCTCACACACTCCTTCCTCAAGGGCCAAGCAACACAATGGCGATGATGAACGGCGGTGGCATGACCCTCCGTAGATAACTTCCCTGCTCTAAAAACCTCTGTAATCTTGATACAACTGGTCGGAAGGTGCTCCAAGCTAGTGGATATGCATAAGTACAGGACGCCGCCGACAGTTCAACTGCTAGACAAGCGAGCTGCTCCAATCTCCAAAGTGCTTCCAACAAGGAATGCTTACGGGCGGTGTGCTCTGGGTATCAATCGCCAACAAAAGATACAGAAAGCACGATTCAGTGTCACCGGAAACCCGATCCCAGAAAAGAAGAAAAATGAGGCTCAGTGGAGTGGGGAGTGGGGTGCTCGATGGAAGGAGCCATAGGAGCTCATTAGGCAGGTGCTCCGTCAAGGTGCTCTAGCTGCTCCGTTGTGGGATTACTGTAGTAGCAAGATGAAGTCACTCCATGATAACCAAAAACACATTTTTTAATGGCAGGCTACCTTCCGTAGCAAGCATCCAGCATGACCGCAAGATGCTTGTTGTACAGGTACAGCTTCCAAACCAAGCTCTTTTGCGGTCTTACGCTTTTGCTGCTGCTGCCTTTTTTCTGTGCGGTGACGCAACGGCTTGCATCTCAACATCACACGAATCGATCCCTGAGGTACAGCAGTAACAGCGAACCCAGTGCGTACAAGGGCAATGTTACTGTGGATTTCTACAGAACGTTTGAAGACAAGAATTTCCTTGGCATCATACCCTACAAGGCATATAGTATGTCACGACCTCGGATTGCTGTGCAAGTAGCTTGGATGAACTTTTGGTATGAAGGCAGGGTAGACTTTTACCTGGGGGATATTTATGAGGTTGAGGACGCTTTCTATTCCAATCCAGAACTGGTGTGCACCGATGCCCTGGACAGATTTGCATCCACTTTTATTAGTGAAGATCAAACAATCAAGAACGTACATCGCATCAATGTCTTGGTGGTCCCCCAGTTGGCGCGAAACACCAATGGGTGTGCCACAGTGGATGTGCCCTTGGGTGGGTGTTGCCTGTACAAGGCGCCGGCATTTGTTCTCACAAGGGATAATGATGGTCTTGCCACAACAGGTTCCTTGGGATCGCTTGGTTCACAAAATTTCTTTGGCTACGTGGCAAGCCATGAAGTGGGACATGTGTTTGGGTTGCGACATACCGCCGAAACAGACGAAGCGGCACCGAGGGGTATTTCTTATTTTAGCTGTGGTTTGAACTTGAGGTATCCACAATTCTCGGTATTTGACGACCCAACAACACACCCTGATCTCAAGTTCTGGGACATGGTCACAGGGGAACTCTATACCTACACAGATTGGCATGCTCAATCCAATTTCATGACTTCCACATGCAATCTTGGACTGGGCATTGTTTGGAAAGTTGGCATCTTCCGATACAAGTACGAACCCATCTTTGATGAAATTCTGGAATGCTGGTTCTCAAGATCCAATTCCAGGGATGATGATATTATCAGAGAACTCCCATAGGCTGCTTTTTTGGAGCGAGCAGTTGCTGTTCAAGCGGTTGGTGGGATCACTCTTGAACTTTACACGATAAAAATCGAGATGAGCGATCGCCCGAGCAGATGGCGGTACAGCAATGCCTCTATCCTTCACGAGGAAACAAATTATTGGGGGGACCCAGTACCTCACCTCGCCATCAAGACAACCTCTCTAGCTAGCTAGCGTTTGCCAAGCGCAGGAGGATCCTTGCCCACAAGAGGATTGGGTCACAATCACAATATCACAATCCAGTGAGTGTCAACATGACGCCCTGTGAAGATCGCCAAAGCCACGACTCAATGTCATTCCGTGGATCACCTCAAAACTCGTTCCACAAAACACAGAACACAAACAACGAGCATGTGTATTCGGTGGTGACTTTGTCCAGGAGCCAAAACACAACACATCCCTGCTAAGCGCAACTCCAGGGAACCTGCAACTTGGAGCTGAGCGATGAAAGCTGGGTATTGGATCAAGTTCCTTGGAGTCTGTTGTCTCTTTCTGCCAATCAAGCCGTCCTGTGGTTTGTTCTTCCGTGCATCACCCCCTGATCACGATAGCGATGTTACCAACAAGGACACTCCTTCACCACCATACAAATTGGGGGATCCCTTTACCATCATCTTCTTCAGTGACTTGGAAACCCATTTTCGAGGACACGACATTTATCGTTCCCGCTACGTGGTTCGGTACATTCGAGACTTGCGACATGCCAACCTTACGTACGATGGCAATTATAGCCACGTTGCGGTGGATCCGCAATTGGTGATTCACGGTGGTGATGTGGGTCACCTATGGAACTGTTTTGGGGCCACGCTGTGGGAATTCTACCTCCGAGGAGCGGTTTTGAATGACTACGATGCACACAATTTCAACAATTGGCAATGCCAAACTCCCCTCGATGAGATTCGCAGCCTGTGGGACATCTTCTACCAGGCCGACATGCCTTTTGTGTCCAATTTTGGCAATCATGATTGGTATCCAGCTCACGGCACCGGCAATCCGTGGGTGAGACCCGCCGGACAGCGCGATGCCGTTGCCGATCGCATCAATCGACAATCCTCCGAGTTTGTGCGAGAAACGTATCGTCAGTCGGAACGGTTGGGGCTAGAAGTACACGATGAAATCTTGCCGACTGCGCAATACGGGCAATCCATGTTTCACAGTGTCTTTCGGGGGGTTCGGTTGGTCAGTTTTAATGCCGCATTTAACTGGGAGTCCTACGATGATCATGGGACCTACAATGCCACCCAACAGTTGGAACGATTGCAAGCCAGTTTACTGTCGCGCGGAAACCACAATGCGACAATCTTCTATAGTCACTTTCCCTTGAGCAAACACCGGCTGCGAAACCAGGCCCCCTCGGTGGATGAAGTCGTGGGACTCATGGCACAATTTGCCGACAGTAACCATATGGTCCATCATTTCGCCGGACACTATCACGCCGAACGCGTGGAAGACTACAACACTACGGTCACCACGGTCACCAGTGCCAACAATAATCAAAGCAGAACAGTAACGGTGCGAGACCATGTCGCGGCTTATCCACATCGAGCTGGACAGAGAGAACCAGGGTTTTGGGCCATTTTGGTGTCGCCAACGGACGGTGTCTTGCAAGTCAAATCCATAACCATTCCGGGACTGCCCAATGGCAGCCCTTGTACTCCAGCTGCTCACAAGGAGCCATTGGGTCTGTTGTTTGGTACGACATACAAGGGATGCGACACTTGCAAGGCTGGGAAACATGTCTGGTCTTTTGCCCATACGTGGTTTGTCTGTGGAGATTGAAGAGAAAAAGTTCTGCCACTGCAAAAGAACAGTCTAGCGGTTCTATACTCCAAAGACGCGGCAACAGCCAGGACGAGTGGCTGGTATTGTAGCAACCGGATATGGACCATAAGGGTGATTGTGCAACAATTCGACGCCAGTCATCAGCTGTCTAGCGAGAGACTCAACCGACCGGCAGCATTTGAACTGATTGAACTGTAAAAATCAGATAATCAAGGACCCTGGGACTTCTTCCGCAGCTTCCTCTTGGCTAGAAATGACAGAGGCATTTTTTACTCTTGTCTCTCGTTGTTCAGATCATTTTTGTCACATGAATTAATCATCCAATCTTTCAACAACTCCTCCAAATACTCGGGAGAAGACGCTACAACATCCGGGCTTTTGATAAAGTACCGTCGCAGCCAAGGCGATGCCGCCCGTGAAATCTTCATCATTTCGTCCAAGACGGGGGCCCATTGTGGGGCACAGATATCCATGCGATAGTCGTCCAGGTTGGTGGTAATGTATTGCGAATAGGGTCGGATATGCAGTGGTCGGGGATCCAAATACTGGCGTGGCAATCCCAGGTAATCTTCCAAATCTTGCTCAATTTGTTGCAATCTGGTCGCATTATTCTTGGATTCGGCCAATTGTCGTGTTTCCATGAAAAAGACCCGATTGGGCATGCGAGGATGCCTTTGTAAAGGTGATGGATCCAGCCACGGCCGCAACAAGGTCCATTCGGCCGTGCTGTTCAGGGTGTCTTGCCCAATGCGGCCAAAATGGCATGAAACTCGGCCTTGCTGGTCGATACGAAATGCGACGTGGCTCCTGTTTCACCATCCCGTGGCGCCGAGAGCAGATCGGATGCAGTCAAGTTCTCATGAAACCGTCCCGACTTTTCAATCATGTAGTAGTAATAATTGTAAATGGAGGCAATCCATTGCACGGGATGCCGTACTGTGACAATGAGTTTGGCGTGGGGCCAATTCTTGGAGAGTAGATCGCGTACCGGATATCACTGGGATTCTTGTATCCCTTGAGTACCTTTTGGTGTGGCAAGAGCAGTCGTTCTTGTCGTTGCTTTTGTTCGGCTTGAGCACAACGGTAAAGGACACTCACGGCCTTGGCCGGTTTTTGATCTCGGAGCCACAGCGGTTCATGACTGGGTGCTCGAATGAGTTTGGGGAGAGTTGTAGTGGTCGTGGTAGCACTGGAATCATCTTGATTACTGGTATTCGTGTTGTGGGGTGGTTGCAAAAGCCATTCTACCAGGGTGGTGGTACCGCATTTGGCAAAGCCCACAATGGCGAAGTCCAAGAGAAAGTCGACATTCTTGACAATTTGTGCAGGGTTGGTGGATATAGATCTTGAGACGAGCGTATCCAGTGGTGGATGGGTGGCATTGACATGGCCGTTGTCGTTCTCATGGTCAAGCTGGATGAAGTGTTCCGAAAAGAGAGGTGTCGGGAGCAGTGCGGCAGGAAGCTTGATAGAACTGATACCGGCACCGTTGGAATTAGCGATGATCCTTGTGGATTGTCTTCTGGCTACAGAGTCAGGAGGTATTTTCGAAATGCGCTCGGATCCAAGATAGTAGCAAGCGGTGCCGAAAAGCAAGCAACCAATGACGCTGGCTCTCCGTTTTTGTGGTGTCAGACGGAATCGTGGCCAAATTTCAACAGTGAAGTCCATCCTCGAGCAGTCGTTGGTGTCGTTGCCATGGTTGGCTGCACTCGTTGCTGGTATTTGAGACAGAAGCAAGTAATACTGTCTACTGTCAGTCAGCAACCAGGCTTTCGGTCAGCCTGACAAATGCTTCCAGTTTCGAGATGATTGGAGGCTTGGGGTATCCTTCGCGTTTCCCGCACGCAGAGTCGAGTCACGAGTTTCCTCCTGCGTGTCCTGACCCAATCAAGGTCTCTCGCCGTGCTTCTTTTGACGGCCTGTAGCGGTACGAGAGCACTGTACAGTGGCCGGCCCTAAGGAATGCAATAGCAGGAAACAAGACCAAGTACCTGGCTCAGTGCAATCACAACACTGACACTTCACCCCTGTGTTGTTTCTGCTGATGGGTCTCCTTTGCTGTGAGCTAAGCTGCTCTCACAGAACATTGCTCCCAGTTTTTGGCAAAGAAGTGGTCCAGGCCCTCTCTGTGGTTCGCTCTTTTGTTTCCATCAGCTACAATGCGCCTCTGTGGTTCATAATCCTGCTCCCAGCATTGAGCTCCCAGTTTTGGAAATGATCGTGGCA